ATTGTCCTGAATTGAAGTTCCCTTATCCAGGACCTACTCATACCACCTCCAGTGACAATCCCAAGGATCATCTGGATAAACAAATAATTCAGGTCACATGCTGGGTACAGTGGTGCAGACTTGTAATCCCAGGTACTTGAGACCCTGAAGCAGGAGGATCACAAGATCAAGATCAGCCTGTCTCAAAATAATTAGAGAAACCCTGTCTGAAAAAGGGCAGGGGACAGGTAGCTCAACAGTAGAGCACCTCTGGGTTAGATCCCCAGTACCAGAATTAATAATAGTAATTCAGGCAAAAAAAAGTATTTTCTCTTCAATTCAAGTTTCAAAGAAGAGCTATTAAGAATTCAGGTTATGGATCCTCAGCACAACATAAAAATAAAATAAAGGTATTGTGTCCATCTACAACTAAAAAAAAAAATTTTTAATTAAGGTTATGGAGAGAGGAAAGTTTAGAATTGCATGCCTGTCTCTTCCTAGTTCTAATATGAAGAGCGACTGTCCAAATCTGGCTTTGTCAGCTTTGTCAGAGATAAGAGATGGGTTTTTAAAGTCCAGATGTTTAACTGCAACCCCAGGAAAGTTCTGGCACTCTTTGCTAACCCTTTCTTCCAAGAAGTGTCTTTGTCTTTCATTCTGAAGGATCCCTTTCTTTTTCAGGTTCTACAGTTTTGTTGGAACTACTTGGGTGAGTAATTTTACTTGTGAGCAATTTCTTCTCTAACACCTAACATTATCAAGCACTTACCATAGGTCAAGCATTATCTCAATTATTCTACACAATAATCCTATATGGTTGGTAGTTTTATTATCTTCAATTTAAATGTGACCAGTTTTGCCAGGTTAGAAAAGCCTGATCTCAGGTACTACTCTTCCCATTAGAGAATGTACATCTTGAGCATTGTCCCTAAAGCCTTGAGGACAATAATACCCACTTCACTGCACTGTGATGAAGATCGACTGAGATAAAACAAGTAAAAGTGACTGGTAGAAACCAAGCACTCAATGAATAGTTGGAGAATTTAATGGAAAATTAAGTACATGAAAAGCAGAATTTGTATGTTTCTTGGCAAATGCCCTTTTTCTGCTATCATAAAGTTCTAGAGGTCAGATCACAGAATTGATCAAGCATCAAGTCTTCTAGGCCTTCTCTGGACAAAACTGAATAAAGAAAATAATCAATGTATCTCAGAGATTGCATAGCCTACCTGCATCAGAATCAATGGGGGAGCTGGTTAAAATGCAGATTCCCAGGACCATACCCTATTCCCATCCTCACTTCCACCTCCATCCACTGATGGGTAGGAACTATGCTTTTTAGACAAACTCAAATAATTCATACATATCCCTGAATTTATGTATTTTTTTCATACATATCCCTGAATCTATGCATTTTTTTCCACTATAATACTACCAGAACCAGGGTCACTGGAAACATAATTTATTTTTCATAACTTACATGGCATGAGCAATGTCACACCCACAAAGAAACTTGAGAGTTTATCAAAAAAGTACAAAACCAAAATATAAATAGAAAATGTTTCAGCCAGTATAGTTCCCAAATAAAAACCACTTTTGAGACTTCAGGGGAAAAACGGGACTGGGCTTGTAGTTTATCGGTGGAAGGTCTGCTTAGCTCAAGTGAGGTTCTGATCTGATCCCCTGCATGCCTGCACATGCACATGCTCACACACATAAGCGCACACGCGCATACACACACAGGGACGCACATTAATATACCTGGGCCCATCACAGCTGAATTAGAATGACTAAAGGGCAAAATCTAAGCAATCATATGCTGAATTTTTCTATAAATGATTCTAATTATCTCTCGGGTTAAGAACCACTAGTAATCATTTGGATTGCCAACATGAAACATGCTTGTTCCAATTCCAAAGTAATATTTATCTTATTTATCTAGAACAAAGTTGTCAAAAAAGCAGGTTTTCAGTGTGACTTACATACTGCTAGACACTGCTTGCTTATACAGTACCACCTCAGCTTTCAAGATTTGTCTCTTAATTTATGCTACAAAGAATCACGGGGAAAACATCACATATTTTCAGTGGCTTGAACTATGCTCACAGCTGGACACAACGTCCGAAGGACACACACACAGTCCCATAAGTGTTAGCTTTTTAGCTGTCTTGTTTTTCACTGCTTCCTCATCTTGAACTCTCTATTCTCTTTTTTTCTATGCTCATCTTCAAAAGCTTAGATTGGCAGGTCCAAGTGCCTCCTCATCAAACTGATGACATCAGGCCTAGAGAAATAAAGGGCTTTGCACAAGGTTCCGCAGCTATATGGTAGCAGAGCCAGGACTTGAGTTAGCCTCTGACTAAGCTTCTCCAAGTACTGGTTCTCTCCCTGAATTTTGGTAAGATTCTTCATCACTCCAGCCCCTACAAGCCAGGTTGGCCTCTTGGACTTATAATCTAATAAGGTGCACAAGGCTCAGCTCTTAGAAGGTCCCCACATTTTATTTAATGCTCTGCAGTCATTGTCTTTAAATTATTAATAAGTTTTTAAACAAGGATCCTGTATTTTCATTTTGAACCAGGGCCTACAAATTATGTACCCTCTTGCTTAAAAGTAAAGATGGCTGCCCCTGGCCCTGGAGAAAACTGAACATCCACTAGGAATGTGAAGAAAGTATATAGCTACCCTTCAATTTTCAAGGGAAAATTGGCCTCACCTCAAAGAGACCTCAGCTTTCTCTTACCTGGACAGACTTCATGAAAAGAAGCCTCATTCTCCAACTAGGTACTAAGGAAAATGCCATTTTAAAATTATCCTTGGAACCTTGCTGGAAGGTGGATAGTTACATTTCTGTTTAACTTAAATATTTCCTAATGGAAATAGTAACTGTGTTAGTCAGCTTTTTGTCACTGTGACTAAAATACTTGACAGGAATAACTAGAGGAAGAAAAGTTTATTTTGGCTCCGGGTTTTAGAAGTCTCACTCCATGGTCGGCCATCTCCACCCCTGTGGGCTAGAAGTAAGGCAGAACATCATGGCAGAAAGGTATGGTGATTCCACACATGGAAGCCAGGAAGGCCATGGGAGGAGGGGGGCGGGGAGAGAGAGAGAGAGAGAGAGAGAGAGAGAGAGAGACAGACATATGCAAGGAGCCAGAGACAAAATATAATCCCTAAAGGCACACCCCCAGTGACCCACCACCTTCAGTCATGCCCCACCTGCCTACAATGACTACCAGTACAGTAGACCTTTCAAGAAATTAATCCACCAAACGGGTTAATATGCTAATTAGGTCACAGCTCTCATAATCTAATTATTTCACCTTTGAACATTTCTGTTTGTCTTAAGTGAGCCTTTGGGAGACACCTCATGTCCAAATCATAACAGTGACAAATTAGAAGACTTTTAAAAATTTCTTCATTTCCACTCCAGGTTGTTTTCTAGAAATCAGTACTTTCAAATCCCTTTATTAGCACATCATTTACCATCCACTTGTACTTTGACAACTTTATAAACAGTCCCTATTTTGAAAATTTCTTTCAAATAAAACCTGGGTAAACTTTTCCTATTTCTTTTGTGCTCATAATGCCAATATTATTTTCATTTCTTTAATTATGCTTAGTTATCTTACCTGTCACAGCCAGATCATTAACATTATTTTTCAAGTCTTGTTTTTAATTTGAAAAGGTAACACAACAATTGGAAGCACTTGCTTCCTGACTGCACCCCCACCTCCCGCCCAGAAGTCCCTTTAACATCCAAGAGACACACATATTTAAAAGAAGGAACAGCTAATGCACTTTGTTATTAGTATTTTAGAACTCAAAAACATCTAATAAATAACCAATTCAATGTTCTTATTTTCCTCACAAGAAGAAAGAATGTGATTTGCTCAGCAAATCATGTCAAATTCATGACACACAGGAAGAGATTCCAGGGCTACTTACCCTATCTAAGTCACTGTCTTAGCACATTTATGCTTCAGTAGTTCTAAGTAAATTACAGCGAAGATCACTAAATATTACTGCAGAGTTCAAAGAATGATGTTAGAAATTGAAGTAGAATATGATGGCAAAACAAAATTAAAAATCCTCTAGTGCATAAAGATGACAGAAATCAATATTATATAATATGCAACCATTTATTCAAAAACTTCCTTTCAAAGACACACAAACTACCATACATTTACCTTTTACAGAACCCGGATTAAAATCCTTAATAACATCATCATTGTAAGACAACACTACAATTTGCTGTGTCATATTTTTCTTATGAAGCTGTCATGAATATAGGACATTTGATCTGATCAGGGTAGCAAACCAGAAGAGCAATCAAGAGTCATGTGGAAACGACTTAGACATCTCCTGTGCATCTTTTGGTCCTTTGGTCACCAACACATCTTGAATATACTTAGCACACTCCCTTCATCACTGATTCATTTGTACTCAAGAAAGTATATAAATCCCCTCATGAAACTGTGAGCTTCATTTTTTTCCCTGCGTGGTGCTAGGGATCTAACCCTGGGCCTCAGACATGCAGAAAACATGCCACCACTGAGCCACATTTACTGAGCTACCTCCTCAGCCCCAGACTATGAGCTTCTTAATGATAGGAACCTTGGGTTTGCAGTTCATTTTTTCATTTCTAGATCTAGTGCACTGCCTGGCACACTAAGATTTCTGTTCTCTTTAGGGAGAACAGTAGAGGAATTCATTCATTCATTCATGAATAATTTATTATTTTATGGAATTCCTGTGTTTTCATATTGATGTATTAGAAGAAGGGGCAAAAGAGGACACATCAGGAAAATATGTTAGACATTTTATTTTCAGTGCTTGCAATCAAACCCATAACCTTGTGCATGCTAAGCAATACTCTACCACTGAGCTACACCCCAGTCCATGTTATACTTAAAAAAAAAAAAAGCCTTTCTATGCCTTGCACAATGTTAACAATGCACAATGCAGCAAATGTAATTAAGGATGAAACAGTAAGGAGGGGCATACATTTCTCCACTTACTTGCAAGCAAGCCAACTCCACTGGCCAGGGATCCCACCCAGGCTGTTTTTCCTTTTCCTTCACCAAAGACATCCAACCATTCTACATATAAGACTCCAACAGCTAACGGGGATCCGTAACACAAAAACTGAGTGAAGAAGGAGACCAGCACGATTACCCAGCCCCATCCACCATCAGGTGATTTTTTAAATTCCATTGTAAGGTGAAATTGGTGCTTTCTGTAGGTCCTAAAAGGAAAAAAGCAGAAAAAGAAGGCAAATTAAACTTAGATTGTGGTACCACAGTATTTTTAGATTAAAATATCTCTTTCTAAATTAAGAAATAAAAAGAGTCTCTAAATATATATGAACAGGCATAAAATACTACTGACATATCAAGTTAGTTTTTAAATTTTCACTTATGAAATCTTGGATCCATTAGTACAAAAAAAATCTAATTATAAAAAGGCAAAGAGTGGCAGGGCACAGTGTGGCACACACCTGTAATCCCAGTCACTCAGGAGGCTGAGGCAGGAGGATCAGAAATTCTAGGCCAGCCTGGGCAACTTAGCAAGATTCTTTTTCAAAATAAAATTAAAAATTAAAAAGGGCTGGAGATGTACCTAGTGGTAGAGCATCCCTGGGTTCGAAAAAAAGGGCACAGAGTGAAATGAAATGTTGCTTTTTCAACCTTGTCCCCTTTCACCAAGTTTTCATCCCCTCCCAATGGCAGGGAACCCATGATTTGAGTTTCGTGGACTCCCCTGGAAGTAGACTCTTAGCAAGAAAATAATTTATTAGGAGTGTCACTGTGTCTGCACCTACAGAAGGGAACACAGCAGAGGGAGCAGATAAACCACAAAACAGTTAAAAGGAGGGGGTTCTAAAGTTGGGATGACACTTCAGAGTTGCCCTCAGGACCTCACACCAGTGCTGTTCATTCACTGGATACAGGTCAACCCAGGAAGGAGTAATGATGTGATGACCCCAGGGGGGCAATCAGCCCACTGGGGCAATCACCTGATGGCCATCTGCCAAGAGCAGTCCCAGCAGCTGGGGCAAGGAATCTTTCATTCCTGACAGGGGCTGGCAGGTGCTGGCAGCACACCACAACATTTGCCAACTTGAGTATCCTTTCACATATACAAGCAAAACCAAGCAGGTGCACTTAGATTTCCCTCTTTTTTGAAACAAAACAAAACAAACAAAATAATAATCATATTATACATCATATTCTGCACCTTTTTTCATGTACTTAATATCCTTAGAAATGTTTTTTCCTCAAACACCCAGAAAGCATCCTTACTCCTTTGTTGTTTAAATCAGCACATAGTATCTCACTATATGGTCATGTTTATTTGTTCTTTTACTCACATAGTAAACAGGCAAAACACTTGTGTGGTTCAAAACTGAAAAAAAAAAAAAAGGACAAAAGGTATATAGCACCCATCAACCTATTTCCCATCTAATCCCCATCTCCACAGGTAACAAGAGCTTGTCTTTTATATCTACAGTTTCTTTATGCACACACAAGCAGACTCAAACTTAGATTTCCTCTATGTTTTACAAGGCGTCCTGTACACACCAGCATCATATCTTGAAGACCTTTCATATTAATGCTCACTATCTTCCTCATTCTTGCTGTTACACTGTATTCCAGTACAGGGCTTTCTCTTAATTTGTTTAATGAGTCCCCTGTGGCTGACCTTGTAAAGCAATGCTGCAGCGACTAGTCTTACATATGCACACATCTCTTTTTGCATATGCATATCTGTCAGGCAGAACTCAAGAGGAATTGCTGTGTCAAAGGGAGGGTTCCTTTGAAATTGCAAAAAATGTTTTTAAAATGTATGTCAGTCTTTAGTGGGGTGAAGTTCCTTCCCTCTCCATTATTGTAATTCTTTTCAATAGTTTCTAGTTATTCTTGTTTACTTTCTTTTTAATTAATTAATCAAATTAATCAACCTAATTAATTAATTTATTGCAGTAATTGGGGATTGAACCCAGAGGTGCTCCACCACTAAGCTATATACCCAGACCTTTAGACAGGGTATCTCTAAATTGCTTAGGCAGGCCTTGAACTTCCAATCCTCCACCCTTAGGTTCCCTAGTTGGTGGCACTACCGGCATGAGTCAACTTGCTGGCTTACTTTTCTATATAATCTTCAGAATCAGCCTGTTTCCAGCACTACAAACACACACACACAGAGAAACACACACACATATAGACTAGGAGAACTGATTCTTTTATGATGTTGAATCTTTCTAACAACATGATGTGTTTAGCATTTATTCAAGTGTCCTTTTGTGTTCTTAGTGTTTAAAATTTCCCTCAACACTTCTACTTACCGTATCCTTACATATCTTCTTTTTACTAATCTTGTAATTGGGTCCAGTTGTTTAATTTGCCTTTTTTTAATATGGATGAAAGCTATCAGTATCTGTATGCTAATTCTGAATCTCATTACCTTACTAGGTCGGTGGAGCACTGACCCCTGGGTTCAATCCCCAATTACTGCAATAAATTAATTAATTAGGTTGATTAATTTGATTAATTAATTAAAAAGAAAGTAAACAAGAATAACTAGAAAATATTGAAAAGAATTACAATGATGGAGAGGGAAGGAACTTCACCCCACTCATTACCTTACTAAGATTCTCCTCTTAGCAGTAGATTTTCAGATGATTTTCTTCGTTATATATATAATTTATAATGCAATATAGTTTTACAATCACCTACACAGTGGTAGTTTTAACTGCTTATTTTGAACATTTATACTTATTTCCTTCTTTTTCCTTTGCTTTCACTAGTCATCCAGAATAATGTTAAATAATTATTTTAGTCTAATTCCTAACCTTAATGAGAATGCCTTCAAATGCCATTGTATTGCCTCTGTAGCTGAGATTTTTTTTTTTTTTTTTTAATTTTGGTACCAGGGATTGAACCCTGGGGCATTAACCACTGAGCCACATCCCTAGCCCTTTTTACTTTTTATTTTGAAATAGGGTCTCACTTGCTTAGAGTTTTGGTAAGTTGCTGAGGCTGATTATGAACTTATAATCTTCCTCCCTCAGCCTCCAGAGTTGCTGGAATTACAGGCATGTGTCACCTCATGATTTATTTCATTAAGTTAAGAAAGTATACTTTTCTATTTTTAAGTGTTATTATACAGAATAATTATTACATTTCATTAAATGAATTTCCAGTGAACAGTTATGATGACAATATGAATTTTCCTCTTTAGATTTTAACATGATAAAATTTATATATTCTACTATTGAAATATTCATGAATCATTGAATTAAATCTTCCTTACTTAATGCACAATTCTTACCATGTTGTTCTATTTTGGGGGAGGGATTTTTAAATTCACAGGTGATATCTATCTACGTTTGGTTTAATTTTCACTAGGTTTTGTTTTCAAATGATATTTAGTTTAAAAAAAAATAAAATTTTTCCTTCTCTGGGTTTAAAAAGTTTACATGACCATGGGTTTAAAGACTGAAGGCCTAACCTCCATGTCTCTAATAGGCCTTCCTATTTTAACCTATTCTTTCAGTGTCTCTTCACTATGCCAGTTTTATAGTCAGGTTCAACAAGAATCTTGTTTGCCTACAGGTTTTGCCAAGCCATTCCCTTGGCTGTGGTTTCATCAGATAATAGGTAAGGACAGTAGAATATCATTCATCCATTCATGCACTTTCTTAATTAGATGACGATGCATTTGGCTACCTCAAGAGTCATGGATACACCCATCATTTACCTGGGCTGTAGTGAATTTCTTCACTTCAAATTCAGAGCACTAGGCAAAACTCATGTCATGACCTGCCAAAGGCCTTTGTATGAAATAACTTTGCATATTTAATAACTGAAAATTGAAAGATGTTAGAATTTGTACAGAAATCTGTAGAGTCTAAAATGTAGACAAACACACAATTGTGTTAAAAGGGAAAACAATTCAAACTTCCAGACATGGAGATCATTTGAAATAATCAGTAATATCCCTCCATCAGAAGTTTACTGTCTCTAATACTTACTCCATTATAAAAGTAAACAGTATGGTTTTAGTCCTTCTAATGACTATTTAGTACTTTAAAATTCCTGTTCAGAATCCCCTTTATATAGATTCAGTATAATCTTTTTACCCTAACTAAATAGATAATATGTGATAGAAATAACCAAACATCCAACTTAGTGAGAATTTATTTCAAATTTTTTTTAAAAAGGGATGAGGATATAGCATGTAGCTCAGCAGTAGAGCACCCCTGTGTTCAATCCCCAGTATGACCAAAAAAAAAAAAAAAAGGAAAAATCAAGTCAAAGAAACTGATGAGACTAAGAATTTGTACAAAAACAAATGCATACGGGATCATCTTTCAGAAATTCTCAAATTTTTGCACTTCAGAAAAAGTACACTGACACAGGCAGAGCAGCAGAATTATGAAGAAAGCTTGTATTTTCCAGAAGATGACAGTGGAGAGGATTATCTCTCTTATTGGCTTTCAAATCTAAGTAGATAGAAATTCCTTTTATTGCCCAGCCTGGTGGCACATGCCTCCCCAGCGACTTGGGAGGCTGAGGCAGGAAGATCTCAAGTTCAAGACCAATCTCAACAATTTAATGAGGTCCTAAGAAACTTGGCAGGAAGCTGTCTCAAAGAGAAAAAAAATGGGGCAGTGGGACTGGGGGATGTGGCTCAGTGGTAAAGTGTTCCTGGGTTCAATTCCTAATACTACAAAAGAAATAATAATAATAATAATACATGAAATTCATATGGAAAAATAAAAGACCCAGAATAGCAAAAGCAATTCTAAGCAGGAAGTGTGAATCAGGCGGTATAGCGATACCAGATTTCAAACTATATTACAGAGCAATAGTAACAAAAACAGCATGGTACTGGTACCAAAACAGGCAGGTGGACCAATGGTACAGAATAGAGGACACAGAGACTAATCCACAAAGCTACAACTATCTTATATTTGATAAAGGAGCTAAAAGCATGCAATGGAGGAAGGATAGCATCTTCAACAAATGGTGTTGGGAAAACTGGAAATCCATATGCAACAAAATGAAACTGAATCCCCTCCTCTAGCCATGCACAAAAGTTAACTCAAAGTGGATCAAGGAGCTAGATATCAAATAAGAGACTCTGCGTCTGATAGAAGAAAAAGTTGGCTCCGATCTACATATTGTGGGGTCGGGCTCCAAATTCCTTAATAGGACACCCATAGCACAAGAGTTAATAACA